GGGGTAGCAGCCACACGGACTGGTTTGTCCTTTAGGAAGTACTTTTCCCAGAGCCAGGATGAAATCTACCTTCAGAGGAGTGGATCACCTTTGGACACAGCTGCTTTTTGCAGCCACAAAGACCAGACCTCTCTGATTCCCAGGTGGGCTCCCGTAGAGCTGTCTCTCTTACGCGGCACAGAAGGCCAAGCATAGGAGGGCACAATCTCCACCATGAGTAGTGACTTCTTAGACACACCTGCCAGGTGGACCAGAATCAGGCTGTGTCTACAAGGACCACTCCCGAGAGAAGGGAAGGCCCTGTGCACTCGGGAGCACATCTCCTAACGTTCCTCCAGTTGGAGTCACAGTGTCTGTCCCCAGGCTCAGGTTGGACCTGTCTGAATGGGGCTCTGCTGGGCACAGAGAGTTTCTGCCAGAGGATGACACGAACTCTTTTGAAACCACCTATCTCCCCAGCCCTGTATATGTGTTACCACACCAACCACGGTGGGCACTTGCTCTGAGTACCTGGGGTCTCGCAAATGAATGAGGGCTTGTGGTCCTCAAGGACCTTGTTTAGTAGATAGCAAGACCCGCAGCGTAACAACACAGATCTCTGGGTCACCACTGTGACCAAGAGAGATCCAAAGCTGTTGGGAGCCCACTAGGGAGCTGGATCCACCTTCCTGGAGATCCTGCCCAAGAGATCCTGGGAAGGTGAGGAGGAAGTAAGAGTGGAAACAGCAAGACCAGGGCATCTGAGACGGACGAAGTCTTTCTGAATCTCCAGGCTGAAGGTCTGCCCTAGCACAGACCCCAGCTGGGCTGTTTCCTCTTTTGATCAGCAAGAAGCTCAGCTAATAAGACAAGAGGGCCAAGAAAGGCTCCCAGCTTCCACTGAAGGAACAGCAGCACCCTTCACAGAAAGGCTAACTTGACTTCAGGGCTGAGTCCAGAAGTTCAGGCCATACCAACTTAGACACTTTGGAGGCTGTGGCCACCTCAGGCCTGCCGTCTGTCCCGCAGAGCCCAGGGAAAGTGCTCTGCATTCTGGCTCCCAAACCAGACTTCAAGACTGCTTGGCCCAGGCCCATCTCCAAGGAGTCAGAACGTGGGTGTGAGGAGTAGCCTGCCAAAGTAGAGTGCCTCAGCCAGGGGGAGAACGGGCGGGGAGACTCCTGACCAAACATGATTTCCTGATTCTGAGAAATATCCGTTGAAAATTCTTACAAGAAACAGGAAGAGAAACGATCCATACGTGGGCATACAAATGCACCCACGCTCGCTACAGACCCACATGAAGCTCCCACACAAGCACACGCACATGACTTCTCTCCGAGGCAGAGCTGACAAAACACTCTGCCGTGCTCAGGCTCGGTGAATCACAAACACATGGCTTCGGCTTCCTTGAATGATGTCTCGTTTGAGAAACTGGAGGAGGGGAGAGGAAGATTTTGGGGAAGAAAAAAAAAAACAAGGGAAGAATTGGAGGCTCTGGCTGGATCCAGATGCTGAGCTAACCACCCCCAGTTTCTGTGCTGCTCTTGTCTGTGGACGTGTGAGAGCAAGGGACCGTTACCATCCCAAGTTTCAGCCCTAGTAGAGCCACAATGGGCCACATACACACACCCATCTGCCTTGGAAGTTTGCACATTTGCTGGGTCTGTTTTATGGCAGAGGCTAGGAATGCTGGAAACAACTTAACTTGAGGTAACTCTAGAGCCCCAGGTGCAGAAATGCCCCAGTGTGTGTCTCGGAGCACCACAGGAACCGGTGACAGGGAAAGGGCCCAGCTGCAGCCCCCAGTGGAAGAGTGGAAGAGCCCCAAGGCACAGGCACAGAGTGGAAACTCCTAGGGTGATTTGTTGAATGAAAACCAAAACAAGCAGGAGGCAGATTTGTTTTCGTGGAAGAAACAGGAAGGTATTCTCCAAGAACTTAAAGGAACAGAAAGCTGTGGGTTTTTTTTTTTCCCCCTTTTCTGTTGGTCTGTGAATTCTAAAGGAAGAGGATATTACAGCAACAAGCATCCTTATTGGGAGAAAGTGGGAAAAGATGGCGCTGGGTCCCAGGGGCGTACGTGAAAGGAACCAGGGATGGGTAGAACTGCAGAGGAGAGCTGAGAACGGCAAACTACATGACGTCCACCTGAGTACCACCCTTGGGTGAGAACCTGACGTAAGTTAAGGATCATGCTGGAGCAGATTCTGCCCACCAGACACCATTGTCATGTGATGCAGAAATTTTCAACTTTGTATGAGGTGCCAACACTCAGTAATAAAGATGGGCTTTTCAGGGGGGGGGCTCCCCTTGTTGCCTGTTTCACTTGGGGAAAAATCTCCCCAGTGGCAGATGTGAGGCAAGAAAGGGCTTGCTGCCCAGGGGAAGGGGGACCCTTCGTGGCTAATGGATGAGCTATAGACTTGTAGAAAGATGCACCATTTTGCAATAGAGGCTCAAGGACCCTCTGCAAGGAAAGACTAAAGCTCTGAACCCTGCTCCTTGTCACTGAAGTTAGTGGCAGTGTACACAAGGGAGCCTACGAAGTCAGCTGGCAGCAAAGGCTCTTGGGAGAACCGGGGAAGGGAAAGGAGACTAAGGCTCAACCGTAGGGTGCTAATCTTAGGACAAGCTGAGGAGCCTGGGAACAAGAAGAGGTGCCATGACGGAATCATGATGAGACCCGAGAGACACGGGTGTGCCACTTGGGAGGTTCAGAACAGTGTGAACGGGCTGTATCGGTGTCTGTGTGCAAAGAGAAGTTCCCAGGGGAGGTACCGTGTGTGTTGTCGGTGCTATGACCCCTGACAGCAGGAGCGGAGGTAGAGGCTTTGTAAATACCTAGGCTTTGGAGACTCTTTAATAAGTTAGCGATAAATATGCAATGCCCATCATGCGCAGGGTTGCGTCTGATCTTACGCCTTCTCCCAGCAGCCCCGTGAACAGGTGATTGTCCCATCTTGCAGATGCTGCCCAGGCTCCCACGCCCACCAGTGGCTCCTGGGGCACAGCCAGGAGCCCCGGGATGGAGGTGCAGAAGCCCTCAAGCCAAGCTCTTCAGCTAACCAGCTGAGGGCTGGACCCCAAGACTATTAGGTTTTAAAGAGAACATCAGAACACTCATGAGGCTTCAAAAGCTCACACTGCCTCTAGTCCCTTGTCAGTTCTGGCGTTTAGTTCAGGCTAAGCCTGGCATCTGACTCACTGTGCCTGCAACCACCTGAATGGTGCCCATACCTGAGTGGTGCGCAGGGCAGGAACGCCAGCTCAGGCTGATGGCTCAGGGGACAGTGGTAAATGGAGCACAGACCACAGTCTTGTGTAAGAATTAAAGAGGGCAGGCTCAGGACTAAGAGGCTTAGAAAATCAGAAAGACATTCTGGAGTTGGGGTGTGGCTCTGTGGTAACAATCTGTTTAGCATTTGTAAGACCCTGGCTTTGAGCTCTAGACCAGGAAAAAAATCAAAAAAGCAATATGTCATCCCCCCCCCCCAAACACAAAGGTTTAATTCTCTGTTGGTGGAAATGTTAGAGCATGTCCATTTCTCGGTGGCACGCTTGCTCTGCACCAGTTCTAACTCTATAATAAACAAAGGAGACATGAACACACGAGCTTTTCTCAAGTTAAGACAGTATTCCAGTCCCAGCCAGGAGGTGGGTTCTGGTCTAGTCGAGAGAGTAAGGAGCTGGAGGGCTGGACAGATAGACACCTGTTGCCGGGATCACAGACTGGGGAAGGGTGCTTACCCCAGGCCGTATGATGGAGCGCAGGACAGATAGACACCTATCCCCGGGATCAGAAATATGCATAAGGCCATGGACTTCCAAATAGGATTCTCTTGACCAAGTGACAAGGGCAGGGTGGGAAATCCAACGTGACTACAGGGTCTGCTGTGTGTGTTGTCTATGTCCTGACCAACCGTTCAGGCAACAAGGACAGTAGAGGCACACACAGCAAAGGGACCCAAAGCCACCCAGAAGGAAGCCTGTCTCATTCCCTAGCTGCTGGGGAACTGTGTTTCCCTGGCCAGCTGTACCTAAGGTCTGCAAGCAACTTGAGTTCAGAGACTAAGTTCTGGGTCTGCAGTACCCTTCAGGGCTGGGCACCCAACAGGCATGCGCAGGACTGCCTAGGGTAGAGCCGCTGAGTCATTAGACAAGTATTCTAAGATTGCAGCCCTTGGGAAGATAAAGGGACAAGCCAACAAGTGAACACACACAGAATAACAAGGAACAGTAAGTGTCCTTGGGGAGGGAGAGCAGAATGGATCTGGCAAGGATGGTGGGGAGGGTTGATTGGAGGGGGTCTATGCTTTAGAGAGACAAAGGAGGACACCAGGTGGAAGGACCAGCGTGTGTAGAGGCCCCAAGCTAGGCAAGGGTCTGGTCTGATCAGGGACCAAAGGCTCACAGGACTGGCAATGATGAGACATGAGATGAGGCTTCCTCAGACTGCTCTGGCCACTGGGTGAGGGAAGAGATGGCTGTGTGGGGACAAGCAGGGAGCCTATGGGTTCAGATGAGGAAGACAGAGCTCTGTGTTTGTATTCTACTTTCTACGGGGGAGATACTCAGCTCAAGCTGGTGTTGGGCAAGGAAAGAGTCATTGTGCTAGGCAGCTGCAGGGGCCATTTACTGACAGCAGAGAGTGGGGGGGGGGGCTCAGTGCTGTGTAAAATCTCTAGTTGGTGACCCTAACTTCAGATTCTGCGGATCATCCATGGCAGAGACATCAGGCAGTTGGTTAACAGCCTGTGGGAACACAGGAGAATCGGGGTTCTCTGTTCTCGGGGGTGCTGAGATTTAGGTGGTTACAGTTTTTTATTTGATGTGTCTCTCCACGCTCATGTATTGAAGGTTTAGTCCCAGTGCAGAGCGTTTGGGGGTGGGGATCTTTGGGAAGGAGGTCAGGAGCTCTGAGCTCACTCACTGATGGGTCCTTAGCTTACTGGGGTGTTGGAACAGGTGGTGTGCTCTTGATGACATTGGGACGCCAGCTCCTCCTCTACTCTCCCTCTGTGCCACAGGCTAAGCAGCTCTTATCTACACATGCTCCCTCCCATGATGCTCTTCTCACCTCGGGCCCAGTGACCATGGACCAAGAACTCTAAAATGGTGAGGGAAAAACCCTTCCTTCCTCAAGTCGATTTTCTTGGGAGTTTTGCTGCAGTGATGACAAAAGCTTGCATGAAAGGATGCGGCAATACTTGGTGTGGGTTGAGGAGTTGGGAAGGCTTCTGAAGAAAGAAGCAGCTGACTGGGGGACTGGCTGGAAGCATTATCTCTACCTCATAAGAACGGGCCAGCGCCCTGTGCCCTCCCTCTCCCCTCTTCCCACCTGGAGACCACCAGTCAGCGCCCTGTGCCCTCCCCTTCCCCCCTCTCACCTGGAGACCACCAGTCAGTGCCCTGTGTCCCCCTCTCCTCCTCCCACCTGGAGACCACCAGTCAGCGCCCTGTGCCCTCCCCCCTCTCACCTGGAGACCACCTGTCAGCGCCCTGTGCCCCCCCTCCCCCCTCTCACCTGGAGACCACCAGTGGCAGGATCAGCATCTTCAGCATCCTCATTAACAGTTCGCCGGGGAACTGGAGGTAACTAATCTCCTGGAAACACAACAAGATCTGGGTCAGATCAGACAGTACAGACTCCAAATTGCTTGCTTCCTCGCCATCTTCAACATATTGTCTGTCCTTTCTGCACACTCCTGTCTAGCACCTGAACATCAGGGACCAATGAGAAGAAACTGGTTTGGAGCCAAACAGCCTGGATCATGGTAAGCTCCTCCTTCATAACCAACCTGATTATGGTTGGTCTTGGCCCTCTGGGTTTCTTTGTCTCCAATAGGAAGATAATTACTTCATGGGGTCATTGGGAGGCTCAATTGAGAGATTGTGTGGGCTCTTAGCATCTCTCCTGAGCACTTAGCACCTCGCATGAGCACCTAGCATCACTGGTGCAGTTTTCCCCATTAGCACCATTTACCCACCATCCATGGTGTAAAGTCGGCTTCATCCACCAGAGAGTAAGGGGCAGGGGGGCAGGGATGCTGTCTCTGCAACCCACACTAGGCCAAGCATCGCTCTGAGGTCCCCAAAATGGATTAAGCCAGGTTCCTGCCCCAGAAAATGTCCCAGTCTAGTTAATGAGGAGATTGACAAATAAACCATGGCCTTCTCATAAGTCAGTAAGATTCCTTCTGCTAGCTTACCCCTGAGAAGTACTGACTTTGGAGACAGAGGTCCCACTCTAGGTAAAGGACCCTCGTTGGGCCGTTCATAGCCACCATCTCCCAGTGCAGATAGCTTGTAACCACCCTGGTAGAAATGAAGATATTCTAAAAAGACACACGTCTCTCCCACCAGGACACTATACCCTAGGGAACTGCAACTTCCCCAAGAGTCTCACGTTGGGAGAAAAAGGTTGAAGTCTAGCGCCAGCCAGAAAAAAAAAAAAAAAAAAAAAAACACACAACTTGTCTCCCTGGAGAGATTTCCTACAATTCTGATTACTTGTCAGACCACCTTGGGAAAGAAAAGGAGCCAAGACAACAATGGGTCAATGATGGTGGGAACACAGCCAGGACCCCTTAGCCCTGGGTACCTCTGGCCCTCTAGTTAATCTTAAATCTTCATGCTGGGACTGTGAAGATGACTCCAGAGGCCTCTGGCCTCTCTGATCCTCTTCCCAATGTGGTCACATGGATTAAACCTTCGTTTTCTGCCTTTGGCTATCACTTGTTCCTTTAATTGATCTATTCAGGGTGAGGCTGAGCCTCGCTCATTAGAGATGCTAGGGCCTGGGATTAACCCCTCCCAACCCTGGCCACAGCTGCCCCCCCCCCCCACCCCGGCAGTTCATAGCAGAGGAACCCAGCTGCAGGACTGTTGTGAACAGTTAAGTGTGCCTTCCAGATGATAGTGGAATTCTGTCCGTTGCTTGTTCTACAAAACAACTTGTGGATTGTCTGAAATTCTAACAGAACTGGAGTGCTGTTTCGACAGCTTGCCTTTGGGTCTTCTGTTTCCGGCAATTCTTAGCTGGGATTCTTATTCCAGAGAGGGAGGATGTGGGTGGCAGAGGCTGAAGGATCTCAGACAACATCCAAGTTACATTTTGGCGCCCGACCCCACCTCAAAAACTAGTGCCAAGTCAGAGTGGTGGCCAACATACCTTTAATCCCAGATTTGAGCACATAGGCAGACAGATCTCTATAAGTTCCAGGCCAAACTGTTCTATATAGTAAGTTCCAGGCCAGCTAGGACTTCATAGTGAGACCTTGTCTCAATGAAAAAAGCAAATAAAAACAAAGCCAGACGTAATGGCTTGTTAGTAGTCTGATGCCTTGAAAAGCCCCAAGGCATAGGATTGTGGTACTAGATAGATCCCATCTAACCCATCCACATCCCAGACAGGATGCAGACTGGACAGAGGAAGTGATGTCCCACCTAGTGACATGCAAGAGAGAGAGCTGGGTTTCCTAGGTCCACTATGCTACCATTTCCAATGTGCCAGAAAAATCCCACAAAAATATACTCATCATGTATCATGTCTGTGTCTTTGTGTGTATGTAGTACTGGAGATTAAACCTGGGCTCTTGCATAGCTGTTTCCTCTATTTATTTTTTTTTCATATTTTTTTTATTGAGAAAAGGAAAAAAAATTTCTGCCTCCTCCCTCCTCTATTTATTTTTGCATTGTGATTGTGTGTGTGTGTGTGTGTGTGTGTGTGTGTGTGTGTATGATGGCATGTATGTGGCAGTCAGTCAGAGGACCACTTGAAGTCACTTCTCTCCTTCCACCATGGGCTCTGGGAATAAAATTCACATGGTTCAGGTTAACACTTTTACCTGCCCAGCCAACTCATAGGCCCAACGTTAACAATATCTTTATTATCAAATGCTATTCGCCGCTGAGCCAAGTGACATCCTTGTAACCACACCTTGTTACTTATACAACTTACATTTTGTCCCTGAAATTAATAATTGACTGTTTTTTATTTGCTTTGTTTTCTTTGAGCTTCTCACTAATTTCTTCCAAATGTTTTTATCTATGAAAACATCAAAGCAAGCATTCCCTACAACAGAAGCCGATCGGCTCCCTTTTATCTCATCTGGACTTCAGGCCCACAGCTTTCCACCTTCCTGTTGTGTGTGTGTGTGTGTGTGTGTGTGTGTGTGTGGTTGGGGGAGAGTCTCATGACCCAGCCGCTGTTGTGGCCTCTTGGTTTTCCTTATGGGATTTACCCTGCAAAGGAGCCAGTGTTTCTGCCCTTATTTTGGTGGAACCATCTCTTATGGCAGCTTCCTCAGAAAAGATGCAGAGAGCAACTTCCGAGTCCTTCAGTTCAATTGCCTGGGTCCTATCCTTCCCTCTAGCAACAATCTGGTTGTATTTGAGATTTTTACTGGAAAACAATGTCCTTTTCTGGTTTTGAATTTATTTTATTAGTAGTGTGTGTGCATGTTGTGCGTGCGCGTGTGTTGTGCATGTGGGGGTACACAGGCCAGTGGACAGCTTTGAAGAGCTGGTTCTCTCTCCCTGCACCTTTATGCGGGTTCCAAGGGTAAAACTTGTTCCCAGGCAGATGCAGCAAGCATCTCTTCTTGCTGAACTGTCGGGCTCACACCTTTAATCCCAGTACTTGGGAGTCACACACCTTTAATCCGAACACTAGGGAGGCATAGACAGGAAGGGATATGGCTGGGTGGAGAGAGGAATATAACTCAGGAGGAGACAGGAGCTCAAGGCATTCAGTCCAGGGATTTGTAGAGACAGGATACTCCAGGTCTGAGGATTTCACAGAGGTAAGAACTAGTGGCCAGCTGCTCTGCTTCTCTGATCTTTCAGCTGATATTTTGATATTGATTCTTGTTTATTAAAATTTCAAATACTCATTTTTATTCTTGATTGATCCCTCTTTTTAGCACCTGTGTTGTTGGCACAAGCCAGGGTCATCTAGGAAGGAAAACCTCAGTTGAGAATGAAGGGCCCTAGGAGGCCGGAGTCTGGCACACATGGGAGCGGCCTTGCCATTCTCTCTCATTCCCTCTGCCTTGCTACAAACTGTTAGATTGCATTCCTGAAGCTAGCCCCGAAGGTCTATTTCGATTCTTGGCCACTTCCTCTTCCTGAGGCTGACCACCAAGGTCCAGCTATCAAAGTATTGAAGTCCAGCAATCAACACCCCCCCCCCTTTGGCCATCCTAATCAACCTGCCCAATCAAAATTAAACACCTCATGCCAACATGGAGGCTCCCCCTTATAAACTGAGATTTTCCCATGTGCCACATCTGTCTCCTCTCTATGCAGAAACAGTCCTTCTGTTTCTGTCCCACTCTGGGACAAACACCCCTTCCTCCCTTTCCCTTATCCCCTTCTCCTTCATCCTCTATCTCCTGTCCTTCTCTCTTATTCCCTGCCCTTTGTACCTCCAGGGCAAATAAATCTCCTTTGTGCTGAGAACTTGGTCTTGGTGTGTCCTGTGGTGACTTGGGTCCTTTCGGAGAAAATGCCTTTCAGAGATTAGCCAAGTCTATGGAGAGATTTTCTTGATGAATGATCGGTACGGGAGGGCAGAGGGCCCAGCCCTGACAGGTGTGGGTGGTGCAACCCCTGGACAGCGGTCCTGGGCTGTATAAGAAAGCTGACTGAGCAGGCCGGTGAGCTGCACTCCTCTTTGGCCTCTGCTTCAGTTCCTGCCTCCAGCTCCTGCCCTGAGCTCCTGCCCTGACTTCCCTTTGTGGTGAACTACAGCTGGGAGCTGAAACAAACCTTTGCCTCTTCAGGTTGCTCTCGGTTGTGGTGTTTATCACAGCAATAGAAACCAAACAAAGACAGCGTCCAATCTGCTGCTGCTATTGTTTGATGTGTGTGCCGCTGGGACTGTAACCTATGACTTTGTGTGCACTAAGCGCAAGCTAATACTACGCTATACTACTACCCCACATCCAGTTTTTAAAAATTGCATTTGTTCATTTACTTGTGTGTACACACGTGCTACACACAGCACGCATACAGAGGTCAAGACAACTTTCAGGGGCTGGTTCTCCCCTTCCTTTGTGTGGGTTCTGGGGATTGAACTCAAGTCCTTGGGCTTGACAGCAAGCTCTATCCCTGCTGAGCCATCTTGACAGCCCCCATTCAGTTTACTATGCTATGATAACTGTTTACTATGATAACTATGCTAGCTCTCATGTCTCCAAAGACCTTAAGAAATGAATTTTCTGAGAAAGGGCCTTACTCTAGCTCTGGCTGGCCTGGAACTTGATGTACAGACGAGGCTGGACTTGAACTCAGAGATTTGCCAGTCTCTGCTTCCCAAGCACTGGGGTAAAAGGTGTGCACCACCACGCCCAGCCCTAAGAAAGGATTTTAAGAGTCTCCAGGGACCCTTTTTCTCGTCATTTGTCTCAGGTTTGGACATGCACAGCTCACCCCACATTTCTGCTCACAGGTAAGTGTGGAGTGGGAAGCTTCTGGGCTTGCCACTCAGGGCAGAGCAATGGGTGTAACCTGCAGGGAGGAGACGAGAGCCTCTTTTCTCCAAGAATTCATGGGTCTTTTGTGAGGCTCCAACAAGAAGCCTGTGCCTAAGTCCGGCTTCTACCTGTACCAGAGTTCTGCTGGGGAGGCTGCACCTAGGATGCCGGTGTCTGTTGCTTCAAGCATGGACCTCCCCACTGCTCCTTTCTAACTTCACACAGGTGGCCTGATGTCCCCGAGGCAAGCTTCTCTGGATGCTGGGCAGGACAGAGTTAGACACAATACAGAGAAGAGTCCTCTGACCATGTGGCTTCGAAGAGCTCTGGCGCTTAAGGGCCTGCTCTCAACTCATGGCTTCATCCCTGCTCTGCCTTCCATATCAGAGCCCTTTGGAGTCTTGTGAGAGAAGTTACTCAGTCTCTGCTCCTATGAGCTAGCATGCCAGCCTCTTGGGCTCCACCCACTTCCCATACTGTCTAACCAGAGTTTTCTTTCTCAATGACTCTCTGTTCTCTTTGGTTTGGATAGTTTATGTCCTTGAAAATATCCCACCAGGACTGACGAGATGGCTCAGTGGGTAAAGGGGCTTGCTGCCAAGCCGACAGTCCTTTAAGTTCCATTCCTGGAGGTGAGAACTGACTCCTACAAGTTGTCCTCTGACTTCCACAAGTGCACTGTGGGGTGTGTGTGTGTGTTTGTGTGTGCACGTGCATGCATGCATGTGGTTGCAAATGCTTCCCTATGCATACACACATACAAACAAAATAAATGCACTTTTAAATGATTTTTAAAATTTCATCAAACTTATAGGAAGGAAAGGAAATGGATATAATTATAAACTCTCACGCCGTAAGTGGAAGTCTCAAAATGTCTCTGCTTTTTAAATGAGTTATTTGCATCCAAAAGTAAAATCACATTAATTTTGTGAGTTTCATTTCACAAATAGAAATTCTATCATTTTCCAAATTTTTTATGATTTCTGCCTCTTGCATAAGTTCAAACAGTTGGAAGGGTTTGCTCTCTGAGTCACAGGCAAAGAGACCAAACAGAAAAACCCTGGCTTTCACAGGACAGTGCTCGAGAGAAGCCACTTGCTGCCAAATAACTGTTCTCCATCCATGCCTCCTTCAGTGTCTGGCAGGTTAGTCCAGACCTGAACGCATCTGCACACCCAAGCAGATGGGGCAGCTCTGACGCAGTAGGCCCTAGAGAATCCAGCTTTTACTAGCCAGCGGTCCAATTTGTTTTCCCAGAATAATCTTCCTGCAGGACATAGATTGTTGCTGCTTCAGAACCTGAGCGCAGATTGAAAAGTGCTGGGGCCACAGGAGAGTGTCAGGGCCACGGGAGAGTGTCAGGGCCACGGGAGAGTGCTGGGGCCACGGGAGAGTGTCAGGGCCACGGGAGAGTGCTGGGGCCATGGGCGGGAGAGTTTATTTCACCACACAGGTGGAAAAGATCCAGCCACTAAGCACGCACATGAGGCAGCTGCTCATGGTGCAGGGTCGGGAAGCAGGGAGGGTGTTCAGTTAGCCTTCTCCTTTTATTTAACCTGCACCCCCACCTGTGGGATGATGCCACCCACATTCGGGGTGGGTCTTCTCTCTTCAGTTAAATGTTTCTGCCAACAGCCTCTGATGCTTCCCAGACGTGTGTTACCATGGTGATTTTAAATCAGAGTGGTCAAGATTAGCTAACCGGCACAGACGGACTTTGCCAGGGAGACAAGAGAGGGGACAAAATGGCGCTCAGTACTTACTGTCTGCCAGGCGCTGTGGATATTCACTCCTTTATATTTAGAAGATACTGATGCTCCCTTTGCCCCACAGATAAGGACAGTGAGGCCAAGAGGAGAGAGGACCTAGCCCAGCCATCGTAGGTGGAATCCACTCCCTTTATTCCATTTCTTAATCTGTTCATCTCCTCGAACACAGGATTTAGCGCCATTCCACTTCCTGGTGCCCCCTTTTCTCAGTCTTTATATTTTGTATTTTTATTTGCTCAGCTTGCTCCTTTTCATTATAAATCTTCATTAGAGTGACCACTCACAACCACACAGCAGTCTGTACTAGGCTGTTCTGAGATTTCCTCTGCCAATGGAACGAATCTACTGCTTTCCTAACCCAAAGTAACAAAGTCAAATTCCTCCAAATAAAAACAGGGTCAGGCCTATCCCAGCAATACCCTAGTCTCTGGTACCAACTGCTGTCTTAGTTAGGGGTTCTGTTGCTGTGAAGAGACACCAGGACCACGGCAACTCTTATAAGGAAGACATTTAACTGGGGCTGGTGTACAGTGCAGAGGGTCAGTCCATTATCATCCTGGTGGGAGCATGGCAGCATGCAGGCAGACAGGGTGCTGGCCACATCTTGATCAGAAGGCAACCGGAAGTGGACTGAAGCACTGGATGTGGTTTGGCATATATGAGACCTCAAAGTCCACCCCCACGGTGACACACTTCCCCCAACAAGGCTACACCTACTCCAACAAAGCCACACCTCCTTATAGTGTGCTCCCTATGAGCTTATGGGGCCAATTACATTCAAACCACAACAAACCCCGTGGCCCCCATAAGATTGTAACAACCTGTGTTTCTAGAGTCAGTACTTTTCCCTAATAGCTTCAGGTGGTGAGCAGGGTTGCTTGGATACCGGGGGTGGGGCATCTTCCCTTCAATGGAAGATGTGAGCCTGAGTCTGGAGCCTGGCTCCAGCTTCAGAGACGGTGTGAGGTATTAGGAGAATGAAGGACCCATGGGGTCTGGGATCCCCAGGAACCCACTGACAGACCTGCCTGAAGACTGACCCCTCAGAGCCCTCCTCAGTGAGCCTCCATGGTGCAGTCATAACCAAAATCTCACTAGGTGGGTCTAGACAAAACTCCTCACCCTCAAGCCCCTCAAGAGCAGATCTGATCCCTCTTTCCCTCTCCTCAGTATCTGATCCCGTGTCTGCACTGAGCAAGGGCCTCACTCCTAATGTCTCCCCTTAGTCGTTTCCTGTGCCCAGGCTGTGAACCCCGAACCCCAGCTGTCCTGTGTGGTGCTCAGGCTTGTCTCTCCGGCAGGAGGTCTGCACGCCTGTCTCCACAGTCCTGAGCTATGTCTTCCATGTTGGAACAGGCATCTGTGGTGTCTTATATAACCTCACAGTGCCGTCAGTCCACAGAAAGATCTTTCCAGATGATGCATTTACACAGTTGCCTATCGGCTTCACCTTCTGCCTCCGGCTTCCCATCGGCCACCCTTCTGAAGTCTCCTCTGCAGGAGCACGGCTCTCACACCTTCCCCTTCGGCCCAGTGTCACTTATCACTCGCTACCATTGCAGCTGCTCCCATCTGACCCGCTATCACCCCTGTTCCGCTCAGCCCAAGGATGTAGAACTGTCCCTTCTCTCTTCTCTCCATGGCTCTGCACAGCTGTCTGAAGCCCGTGTCTGGTGACGGGAACCATCCAGCTCTTGGTCCCTAACTCCAGCCCCTTGCTCTCGCTGTATGTTCCAACCCCCTCCAAAGGCTTGCTGCCTTGCTCCTGTTTCATGCACCCTTGAGCCTTATCCATTGATCCTGCTGTAGGAAACCCATCCTGGATTCCTGGTCGTGGAGGACCTATAGGGGGTGTTCTCTGAAGACCCCTGGTCTCCCCACCCTTGCTCTCAATCCCGTGCTTGCTCAGTGGTGTGTCTTTGCTCCCCCCATGTAGGGCCCTGGTCTCCCTTATTCCTGGGGTACATTGGCGGGGACAGTTTGTTATCAGTTAACTAAGCTTCCTGTGTGTTTCCGTACTATCCCTGCCCCACCTGGTGATTTAGCTACAGGCAATCTTCTCCATTGTTAACTAAGTTTCCTGTGTGTTTATTTCCCACCTCCCTGGGTGGTGAGATCTTTGTGCTGCAGTTAGGTAGAAAAGGGCTTCCCCAAGTCTAAATAAACGGCATTCGCTTGATCTCCTATCGAATGACCCTGGTCTCTGTGTCTCTGTGTTCAATCTCCAGGCCCTTGCCCGGACTCACATTCGGTACAGCTGCGCGCGAACTGTACCGAGGGTGTAACACCAAAACCGGGTGTTACACCCCCCCCCCCCATCACCTTACTATACTGGCTTTGTTGCCATTTTGCCAGCCATTTTACTGATCTCTCACACTAGTGGGTTTTTCTCACGCCCATGATATAGATGGGAACACTGGGGCCCAGAGAGGCAGCCTAGCTCACCTCCGGCACCGACACTGGGAACCCCACCCACCCAGGGGGCCTGACCTGTTGTGAGAGGCGCTGGGTCCTGAGGAAGAAGCCGAGGAGGCAGCCCACGATGACAGACAGCACAGACAGGATGAGAAGCCCGTTGCGCCTACACACCGCCCGTCCTCGAGCCAGGACAGCGCCCAGCGCCATGCTCAGCCCAGCTGGTTGGCAGCATTCCATGCGCTGTAGGATGTGGCCCAGGTCTGGGCTGGGGGCACAAGCCTCTCCGCTCACGGATGAACAGAGTCCTAAGCACCTATCACCAGCCTTGCAGCCATGGTCCGGGCAGCCACCCAGAGGGAAGCCACAATCCTATTACCAGCTGCATCATTAGGAGCCGGGAGCAGATTAGGGCTTGAGAAATTAGAGCAGGCCACATGGTCCGTGTGTCCAGTCCTCAAAGCCAAATACTCCTCTTGAAGAGGGCAGGGGACCGGACACCATGAGAGGAAGCCGAGGTGCATCAGCCCACCTCATTCCAGAAAGATGTGGAAACACAGCGGTGAGGTGCCAGTCACTGCCAACCTCAGTAAGTGTTGGATGGGCATCTGGCGGCTGCCCCAGGACCACCTTGTCGTGTGAGCATGGTGCTGCTGACGCCAGGTCCCCAGAAGCCCGGAGTGCCGTGAATGTTTCTTTGCCAGTGCACATTCAGAGGCATCTGGGGAAGGAGGGTACGCTGTGTGCCAGGCTTGCCCCAGGATGCTACTGCCAGTCATGGGGACTCAACCCCACCACCTTGGCACTGGGTTCCAGTCTCCAGGTCATTGAGAGAGGGACTGAGACTCCGAGAGCCTGAGTCTCTTGGCACTCGGCAGAAGGGAGTCAGGAGGCACGGTGAGGAATTCAGACTTGAGTTCAGTTGCCCTGTCCAGCCTGCTGTTAACAGGAAATGAATACTTTTTCTTTTGGGATGCTTCAAGCCCGGGACACCACCCCACATCTCTCAGGGACTATTATCTACTTACTTATTTATTTTTATACATATACACAATATATCTTGATCATATCTCAATGAAAAAAAATAAAAAGGAGGACATGAAGCTCCTAGGTATGGTGGAGGTGAAGATTTATTGTAAATATGAGATAGAGATCAGCCACAGGCATCTGGAGGAGTCCAGAGTGAACATGGACACAGGAGGAAGGGGAGGGAGAGCAAGAGAGGAGACACCTACCAAGAAGGGCAGCCCTGGCCGAGGGTCTGGTCAAGAGACTGGTGTAGCCAAAATGGTTGAGTTATACAGGAGCCAGAGGAGCTGGGGGAAGGGGCAGCCCAGTTTCTGGGCTGGAGAGTTCAGGGTAGGGAGTGGCACAAGCTAGTCGGAAGGACCCTGTCAGGTAGGACTGGAGGGATGCAGGGATAACCTGATGGGCAGAGTCTGCTTTGGTATGTTAATAGGCATGGCAGCCCTTTGCCCAATATTTTTGTTTGGTTGGTTGGTTTTAGAAACAGAGTTTCTCTGTAGCTTTGGAGCCTGTCCTGAAACTTGCTCTATAGACTAGACTGGCCTCGAACTCACAGAGATCTGCCTGTCTCTGCCTCCTGAGTGCTGGGATTAAAGGCATGTGCCACCACTGTTTGGCAAAATTTCCAGCCCCCTGAACCGTCTGAGACCCAACAACACCCACCCACAACAGCAGCTCCTCCTGGGCCCTCCCCAGCACACGCACCTCCCACCTCAATGTCCTTTTCTCTAATTAACCCAGAGGACAACCTACCAGCTGCCATACTCCAAGAGATTAAGGCTGACAGTGGGAATAAGCATAACGTTTTAGAAGGCAGTTAACAGCAGGCCTGTCTAGCAAAACAATAGCAGGTTCCCACTCCAACAGGGTCTATGACCTCTCCAGCCACAGGCTTTCGACAGGGTTTAAGGCACTAAGGCCTCCTATTTTTAAAGATGGCAAAGACCAAGAGATCTGCATTTGAGACCCAGGTCTGCTACTTGCCAGCTGTGTGATCCTGTGAAACCATCTCATCTCACTCAGCTTCGGTCTCCCCATTCATACAACAGAGATGGTAAGAGAGTCTGGCCAGAGGGAATATGAGCAAGGACAATGGCTGGAACCATGGGCACAGAGCAGCTCAGTGGGAGACTCCTTCCTGCTCTTGCTTGTGGTGGCCTGGCCTTTAAACCAGAGGGGACTAAGCTGCCTGTGTCATTGGGCATCTGTAATCTCATTAGAGCCAGTCAGGCGGCAGCAGGGAGCAGGCTGTGGTAGAGGTGGGGGTGTGACAGGTGTGGGGTATAGAGGGTGACTGCCTCCTCCAGACAGGTGACCAGAGAGGAGATGGCTAGGAACTGCAGGCTGAGGCAAAGGAAGCTGGTCACAGGCCCTGATGCCATGGCAATGAAGGGACAGATTCTGGTCCCTTCTGAATCAACTTGCAACCTCCCCCTCAGTCCTGCCCTTTTCAAAGAGAAGGGAATGAGCACGCATGCACAGAGAAGCCCAAAGACCCTGCTCCTGGCAGTGCCTCCATGGCAACAGAGGAGGTGAGGTGCCCAGCAGTCTGAGAGATTTCTTTCTCTTCCTCTTAAAGCCCAAAGCTCCCTAAGACACCTTCAACTCCAACAAATGTGGCTTTTCCACTTCACCGGGTGGCTAACTGTTGCTTGGAAAATCCTGGGTAGCCTTAGGGCAGGTTCAAACACCATCTATGCCCACCTTAGTTGAGCTACACGGTGGGTGAGGCTTGCTTTCCACTCTGGCTCTAAGACTTTGATTTCCAGAATGTCCCCACAATTGCTGCTGACCCCATTTCTCTACACTCTAAGCTGCCCCCCTACATTCCAGGATTCTTCAGTGCTCACACTGTCTGCAGATGCTCTTGCTATCTCAGGGTACTGAGGACAGAACAGAGCGTCAGACACAATCTGTTCTTGGAGAACCTCCAAGAAAAGGGACGACTTCCCACTGAAATGTGGACAGATAGCAAGCCTTACTACAGACAGCTTTGAATTAAATCTAAAGGCTCCTGTGTTAGAACCCTTTAATAAGATCACTTTGGCCTACAGGATCATTTGTCTTTTACAATATGGCTAAATAGGGAAAAGTGTTTACATAATTATATAAAATAAATAAGTTTAGGAAACTCTGGTAAGAAGAAGTTATTTGGGTTCTTCATTCTTGCCCAGCTTGCTGAAGTTAAAGTCCTAACTGTGGAGCAGGAGGTGTGGCTCCATTGACAGAGCGCCTGCCCAGCATGCATGAGGCCTTGAGGTCCATCCCCTGCCCTGCATAAACCAGGCAGAGTGGTGCACACCTGTAGTCCTAGTACTTAAGAAGTTGAGGCAGGAGGATTAGAAATCTAAGATCACCCCCAGCTACTTATGAAGTCAGAGACCAACCTTGGTTGCATAAGATGCTGTTGAAAAAAAGTCCTAGCTTTATTGGCAAGATTGCTGTGTGAACTTGGGTACATTTTTAACCTCTTGTAAAGTGGGGAGAAGACAATGGTCTCCTGTAGACTTGTGTCTTAGTCTGGGTTCCTATTGCTGGGAAGAGACACCATGAACATGCAGCACTTATAAAGGAAAACATGTATCTGGGGTGGCTTACAGCTCGGAGGTTTAGCCCATCATCATCATTATACATACAAGCAGATGTGGTGCTGGAGAAGGAGCTGAGCGTGGAGAAGGAGCTACATCTTCATCCTGCAGGCAACAGGAAGTGGTCTGAGATACTGGGCATGGCTTGAGCATAGGAGACCTTAAAGTCCGCCTTCACAGTGACACACTTCCTCCAATAAGACCACACCCACTCCAGCAAAGCCACACCTCCTAATAGTGCCACTCCCTATGAGTTTATGGGAGCCAGTTACATTCAAACTACCCCAGCTTGTGATGTGGGCTCCCTGCAATACTGCAGGTCTTGTACTTAGGTCATTGTGCCGCACTCAGGTACTCCTATGCAACCTTGTTTCCATCTGGGGTTCATTCCTGCTAGAGAAAGTCTCCAAAGCTGGTAGTTGGTTTGTTGTGGGGAACCTTGGAGCATTCTGACATTCTGGGGCTCGGGGCACACACATGGGAAGCTGTGGCTTCCGGAGTGGAGCTCACACGCCTCTCTCAGGACATCTGATGCCTTGGGGCTTGTCCGAGTTCACATCTACTGCTGTCCAAAAAAAAAAAAAAAAAAAAAACCATGACCACAAGTAACTTTGGGAAGGAAAGGGTTCATTTGGCTTACACCTCCATCACAGTTCGTCAAGACGGGAATTCAAGTAAGGCAAGAACCTGCGGAGGTATGAGCCCAAGCAGAGGCCGCAGCAGAGGAATCACCACTTATTGGCTCGCTCCTCTGGCGCATGCCCACTTCCTTTCTTATCCCTCTCGGACCTCCTGCTCAGAGGTGGCACCACCCACAGTGGGCTGGACTCTCCCATGTCAATCATTAATACCAAACAATCTGATGGAGGCATTTTCTCAGTTGAGGATGCAGCTTCCCCCATGACTCTAGCTGGTGTCAAGTTGACAAGAACCAAACCAAATCAGAACTAACCAGCACAGGGTCCCTCTTCCCCTTCGCTGCACACACCCTCTTCCTGCCCGGTATATGGAAGGCCTCCTTCCTCAGCCTCTCATATCTTTGCCCATGCTGCTTCCTCTGCCTAGAACGTCCATCACTGTCCCTGCAGTCCCAGGTCACATGCCACTCTTGCTGGACACCCTCTCTTCCCATCCCCAGCTCAGGCCAGTGCCGAGCCCCTGTTCCTTGACAAGTAGCTCCGATGAGGGCAACAATAACCTGCGTTATCCCAGAGTCTGGACCGCCTCCGTGGAGGAGGGAGTCTCGCAGCTACGCACTGTGTCGGCAGTGAGTATCTAGGGGGCGGTAGGCGTTAAGATGTTGAAACAGAGATCATGAGCCAGGCTGGAGCCCTAGGGCCGCACAGCTCTGCCAGGGTATGACCTTGATTGCAGAAGAGTAAAGAGGGGCACAATAGCCTTGCCAAACGGAGGTCCTGTTTGGCTGACCTCAGTAAACCAGAGACGGGTGCGAGGGAAGAGCCTGTTCTGAAACTCAGCACAGAGCTGGAGAGCCAGCAGCTCCAGGGGCTGGAGCCCGACCCCTTCCAGCAGGTGTCAAGATACATTAGCTGAGCTGACCTAACCCTAGTTGGGTTGGGGTGATGACAGCTCTGG